CAGTGCATACATTTGAACGCAGCCAATGTATATAATGACTGTGGTTTGATAAAGTGTAGAGCCCCCTAGTGGAGTGGAGGGAGAGAAACCAACACATTTTGTTCCACTGATATACTTTATATTTGGAATCAGTTTGGGATTTTTCACAAGAAAACAATGGCTCCTGTTTTTTTCTGTCCATAGTTTCTCCTTTGATTCACAGCTTTGGAGCTAAGAGAGCAAAGCTTTAGATGTAGTTTCAGATCCTATGCTGCTTTAAACTGAACCAGAACTCCTGAGGCCTGAACATTATCACCATTTTAACCCTCCACTCCATTTTGTCCCGTTAAATGTAACTGAGTGTTTGAAATAATTATGATAATAGTGAATAATGTTCCTTTGGGTGAATGGCTGCTTTTCCTTTCCTAAAACATTCATCTCTGCAGCCAGAGTAACTTTTATGTCTCTACAGATGGTCCAACCTCATTTTCCTTCTTCAAGTACTCTTCATCAAATCTCTGACGCCTGTAGAAAAGCTGTGGAGAGTTCAGACGTTCACATTCCTGCCATCAGAGTCTAAGGTCTCTTCATTTTACAGGTTAATCAACAGCAGACAGCAAACTGTCTTCATTTTCTTCACTTTCCCAGCAGGAGGTCTTTTCAGAGATGGTAATAGGCTTAATGTGATCGCTAAGAGGAGTGCTGCTTCCCCAGGCTCCATGTTTTCTCCTCAGCAGAGATAAGTGTGTAAAGCTGTGCTGCAGGTTGAAATCCCAAATGCTTCTGTTAGCTTCCACCAGCGCCGCCAAAAACATATTTCAGCTTATTTGGCTCTATTTTAATCTCAGATTTGTCAATCATTAAACACTTTTTCCCCCATTTTTAAAGTTCTGCATTATTAAACCCTATGGTTGCACATATTTTTAGTCATTTTTGATAGTAATGTTTTACAGAAGCAGAATGACTTTTATCATAACAATAGAGGAGCTGAAGCACAAACAGGCTTTTATTTTCTAGATTACAGCTGTTTTATAACAGCCTGTACTTACCATGTTCTCTATTCCACATATTAGAGGAAATACCTTCTTTTGTTTTATACAGTTTTAGTGACATCATCATCATCATTTAAACACCAATTATTGTGCAAAGTTTAAAACCACAGAAAACCTTTTAAACTGACAGCAGGTGTGTGTTTGTTGGCAGCTGTGTTAAAGGTGAGCCTTTCTGTTATTATCGTCTAAAGGAAGGAAAAATAAACTTTACAACTAATCAATCAGAACAAAAACAAATAAAAAATACAACTAATTTAAAATAACAACATGTTTATTGATCTTTAAATCCCTCCTTGGTTAGAATCTAGTGATGATAGTTCTTTAAAGTGAATCACTGGAACCAAATCACTAAAATGATTCATTCAAAAGATTTGTTCACTGAAAGGGTCAATTTGTAAAACTACAGCTTCTTTTTACCTTTAAAATGTGCAATTAGCCTAATTTACTAATCACAGTACAGTAGCTGAGTGGCTGAATCAGAGTCGGCCTCTTTTCCCATTTCAGGCTCAATTTTCTATTATTTTACAGTTGGGAGTTTTGTCTTGCCTTCTCATACAGATTATTATTCTCTGGATTATTAGAATCATCAAATAAAGGGGAAGTTATCTTTAATTTATGTAACAAACTGTAGTAGGAGAAGAAGATGGACGCTGAGTCTCTGGCTGTCACTCTGTCATCACTCATGTTCACTAGTGGTGCTGAATGCAATCTGCAGTGGCGAATGGTGACTGTTGGTAAAAACCAAGCACTTTTCAGATAGAGACATTTTTAACCACAAAGTGTGAACAGAAGAGAAGAAGGAGAAAATCCAGGCCTGCGATGCAGCAGAGATGCAACTGGACACAGAATGGAGACAGAATGGAGACA